ATTAAAAAGCATTGCAGTACTGCGTTGGAATTCTCCGCAATTTACACCAGCGCCTCGCTCCCGACACTCAGGCACCCAGGAACCGCGCTAACGCCTGTGACTCCCTCACAACTTACCTCGGAATTTGGATCTCGCTGCTCTTCGTGGCCCCGTTGCAGCCCTTCGTGGCCACCTCGCTGCCCTTCGTGGCCCCGTTGCAGCCTTTCGTGGCCCCCTCGCTGCCCCTCGCGGCCCCGTTGTAGCCTTTCGTGGCCTCCTCGCTGCCCTTCGTGGCCCCGTTGCAGCAGCCCTTCGTGACCACCTCGCTGCCCTTCGTGGCCCCGTTGCAGCCCTTCGTGGCCCTTTTGGAACCCTTCGTGGCCCCCTCGCTGCCCTTCGTGGCCCCGTTGCAACCCTTCGTGGCCCTTTCGCTACCGTTCGTGGCCCCGTTGCAGCCTTTCGTGGCCCCCTCGCTGCCGTTCGTGGCCCCGTTGCAACCCTTCGTGGCCCCTTCGCTGCCGTTCGTGGCCCTCTCGCTGCCCTTTGTAGCCCCATATGCGTACCCCTTCCCCCGCTCGTTCGCACCCGTCCTGGCTCCATATGCATGCGCTTCGTGGCCCCGCTGTTGCCTTTCGTGGCCCCCTCGCTGCCCTTCGTGTCCCCGTTGCTGCTCTCAGTGGCCACGTCCTTGCCCTCTGCGGCCCAATATGCGTACGCCGTTCGTGACCCCTGCTCGTTCGCGCCCGTCGTGGCCCCGCATGCATGCCCTTCGTAGCCCCGCTGTCGCCTTTCGTGGCCCCATCACTGCCCTTCGTGGTCCCGCTGTCGCTTTCGCTGTCACTCTCGCTTCCGGTCGTCGTCGTCTTCGTCGTCGTCGTCGTCGGTCCCCTGTCCGTCCCTCTTGGGGTCGGGCTGCCGCTGGTCAGCGCTGCCGCTGGCCAGGCCGACGGTCCTCGGCCCCCCGCCACTTGCCGGGGCTGGCCTGCAGGGAAGGAAGAGATACCCCTCCAGACGGGGGTACGATCGAAGACGAAGAGGGCGGGTATTGAGGGTTTGGAACATACGTGTTGGATGACATTCGAGCAGACAAGAACGAACCGTTTTAAACTGATTGTTGTTGTTGGTGTTGCTCTTATTTTGTTATAACTATTTTTGTTTATTGGTTTTTGGTTGTTCGTTTTCTGTTGCTTGTTGTCACGCCCGAGACCCGGCCCGCGACCCGCCCGCGACCCAGCCGCGACCCAGCCGCGACACAGCCGCGACCCACACGCGACCCACCCGCGACCCACCCCGCGACCCACCCGCGACTCGCCCGCGACCCACCCGCGACTCACCCCGCGCCCGCCCCCTCACTCTGATCCGCAACTGCGGGGTGCTACATACCAACATGGGAATATGTAGTCGCTCTGTCTCTCTCTCTGTTTCTTTGTCTTCCTCTCCCTTCTTTTTTCTGTTTCTGTCTCTGCCTCAGTGTCTCTCTCTCTCTCTTTCTCTCCCCCCCCACACTCTTCATCCTCCTCCCTCATCCTGTCTGGCTCCGCTTTCCTGGTTTCGAGCGCCCGCGTCACAATTTGTCTGCCATTCGGGCATTCGGGTCAAACTCTTATCACGTGTTTCAAGAACGGCTGTCCCGGACCTGGCAGAACTGGCAGGAGATATCAATGTGAAGAAAGTGTGCGCTAGTCCACCTATGTCACCAACACAAAGCGGCACGTATACAGGCAGTCTAACGCTGGGACCTAGAATTCATTCAACAATGAATATATTCCAGGCTTCCTTCCCTGCACACTCGCGTACGTGCATTTCGCATGGCGGTATTTCGATCACTGGAACGTAACGCGTCGACTTGCGCTGCAGCTTGAAAGACAGTGTGACCATGATCTCTGTCCAGGAGAAGGTGCTGGCACTGAACAATTTTGTGAGATCATTCACATGGACAGATCTATCGCCTCAACATCGCTCGTCATCCCGCGCACAGAAGTGCGTCCTACATCGTAGAACCTGGCCCAAAATGGAAACGGTAGGACTCTCAGCGTACGCGGCGACGGTGCCGATCGGCTACTGTCCTTTACTTGCCACCTCTCGGGCGTCCATTCGCCGTGCATTTTTGTGGTTTCGCGTTATTCCCCGCAAGATGGTCTGACGTGCTCCTCGGTGCAAATTTTTGGCGCTGGCCTCGCCGGGGGAGCACGCACGCGTCCGAACGGTGCCAAGCTTCCTCGACCAATGCCAGCGATCACGAAGCGCATGGGGCTCGAACGGACCCTGAAGGGGCCCTGGGACACACAAATAAATAGACACACATAACAGGATCCCCCGTATTTTCCAATATTTTCTGCGTTTTTGTCTTCCCCTCCACTTCCCATATTTTCCCATATTTTCTCGGGAATCGACGATTAATTGTGTCCGTGTGTTTTTTCCCTCCTGAGGCCCGTGCTGCCGAACGCCCCGCCTCGGCCACCGCCTTCTCGCACTGCTCCCGCATGTTCTCGGCGAGCGAGCCCATCTCCTCGGAGGAGTCCTGCGCAGGGGAGGGAGGGGGGCGGGGATGAAGACGGGGAGGACGGACGACGAGGAGAGCCAAGGGGACGGGGAGGGCGAGGAGGAGTGGGACGAAGACGACGATGGTGATGCTGGTCATGATGGTGATGGGAACTCCGCCGGCGGCGCGCTACTTAACACAATCGCAGACCCTCGCCTCTAGAGCGCACCCTGGAAACGAGCACATCAGATAGCTCAGGCAGTCGAAAACATGCTGGTAAGCTTAGGTATGTGTTACGCTTCAAGCGTTGCCATATCCCAGGCTTTGGCTCATATCGCATGAGCAAGAGAGCGAGACGAAGCATGGGATCTGGAGTAAAGGATAGAAGAGGCATCTTCAATGGAAAAGGTATTTTCCGATCTCAGATACCAGTCGTGCGCCTCGGTGAGGCACAGTCATATATTTGGCCGGGCCCGGCTTGAGCCAGGCACGGCAGCGGTACATGCTCGATTTATACCTCGCCTTTAACCTTCTCCGTTTAAAGTCGGAGGGGGAGGAGACGAGCAGGCACCGCACTTCTACATTACGCGGAAAAACAGTGCTAAGCAGCAGCGGCTGCCTACAAGGCAAGGGCGCGCGAGTAGCCTCGCTACCGGCGAGTTTCCTCGCTACTAGAGCGCACCTGCACGCGGGTTTCCCCGCTAGCTCGGGAGGCAGGGCCGTCCTGAGACGACCTGCCCGCCCTATACGGTGTATGTTTCTTCAGCTCGTGCTTGAAGGATTGCTGGCCGGCCATTACTTGTAGGAGCAACGCGCGGTCAATACTACCTTTGGTATGACCATCGGCAGTCATATCCCGCGTGTCACACCATTGAACGCTTTCAACGATTCCGCGCTCCATCATCTGGCGGATCCAGCTAATGTGCCCAAGCAGAGTACATTCTGTGGGCTTCTTCAGATCTTTGCTAGACAAAGACTTGAAGACAGACTCGGCATCAATAGTCAGAGTGACTTTGATACATAGACCACCCATTTCCAATATGTTCTTTAACTGTGTGGGGGTCAATGGTCCCGAGTGTAGCTCGTGGAGCGTTACAATGGTCGGGTAGCAGTCTTCCAAGTTGTGGGCTGCTGCCAGTGTTTCCGCAGAGTAGCTCGAACGCACCTGCAGTCGATGAGACTTGCAGTATGCGTCCACCAGGTGCACGACGGGTTTCCCCGCTTGCGTGTGGCCACGCCTCAGCAGGTTAGCCCCGCGGATACCATAGCCTTTGACTTCGTCGTCTTCATCTCCATTGAGACGGCGATAGCCAGAATCGCTATGCAGGTCAACTTCTCCTGTTGGAGTCATAGCTTGATACACGATCTTCTTCGGACCTGCCTGTAGTTTCCTGGTAACCGCGTTTAGTCGTCGTACCTGGATGTTTGTCGGTTCCTGGATACGTTGTAGTGAGACAACATAGACCATCAGCCATACCTGCGTGATCAACGCATAGGCTAGAGCGCCACGAAGACTGACGAACATATCAGAAATCGTCTTTGTCGCTTTGCTCTCAGGATCAGCTCCTGTGAGTTCTGGATGTGTGATAGGACGAAGCTGTTTGATGTATTCGTCCTGATCAAGAGTGACGCTCCCATCATCGGTCTTGTTATACCGAACGGCACAGTTTGTGTATGTGTGCTTGTTCAGTTTGCACTTCCCAAACGTATCTTCAACACACTTGACATACTTGTCAATAGCATCTTCCTTCCCAGTCATATTGATGTCATCAACGTGCTTGGCTGTCAAGAGGTTTGAGCTCATCTCGAACTCTTCGTCGTATGAAGTAGGCTGTAGCCCAAAGCTCCTAGTGATGGACCTGAGCTTCAGCGAGAATGCCCTGGGAGCATCCTTCGTGCCCGTCCCCGGCTTCAGACACCGAAGACAATGCTTTGATTCGTCATATGACTCAAAGCCTGGCAGTGTGCGAAGGACAGCTGCTGACCCAGGAGGTAGTGTGAAGCACACCACACGCTCTTTCTCGCCCGTTGCCGCGGCGAGCTCGCTATAGGTCAGTCCCTTCAAGAAAGCCATGTTGATGTCCAGGGAAGCGATGATCCAAGCTTTGTTGCATGCAGCAGACTTGCGAGCAGTCTCTGGCTTGACCTCCTTGCCGTGCCAGAGAAGGTTTCGACATCAAAGGCTTCAAGGTCCATGAAGCCACGGAGTACCAAGCGTAACCTGATCGTCCTTTCCATTTCGCCCTTTTCGTTCTTGACAAACTTCCATTTGTATACGTAGCGTGAAGTCATGATGTTAGACGCTTTGCTCAAGTCAGTCATCTGAAAGCATTTATTGTCAAGCCAAGTCTTCAATTCTGTGTAAAGGGCTTTGGAAACTTTGACCGGATTCGCTTGAATGTCGGCCTTCGTGAGTAGATCGTCTTCCTTGACGACCACGGCGCGTTTGGAGGCAGCACTGACGTATACTCGCATGGTTGTGACGCTGCTGTCATCCAACAATCGGTGTTGCTGCTCGGACAGGACGACTTTGGACATGTCTGCTGTGAAGCAGAGCTCGATGTACTTCCCGTGCTCATCGGAGTCCAGATCATATTTGCTATCCGGATCCGTGGAGCATAAAGGAACGTAGTAAGAAGTGTCCATGTCGTATCCTGGCGGGTGACCCCGCTCCGGCAAGTGGCCTTGCACATCTTCACAGGTCGTAGAGACTAACACACACTGTGTGTCTGTCATGTATGTGGGAACTGTATGCATGACTTCTTCTGTGTCAGCTTCAAGGAGTGTTCTGTCATCCATCAGTTCAGCATACCACGACTTCAAGACAAAGGCATCCAGATCTTCTTCTGTTTCTTCTATGATGGTCGGGAGCCGACCATCGTTCTCCGCAGGAGGCTGCTCAGGAGCAGCTGCTGGAGGTGACTCGCTTGGTGGTGGACCATCAGCGAGTTCCTCAAACTTAGTGAGGTCTCGGTCAAATCCAGCAGGCGGCTTCCTGGATTTAAGACACTGGATGATGCGTGAGTGTGTAGATCCTGTGATGTCGTAGATGTTCAAGGCAGTGCCATCAGCTTCATAGTAATGAAAACCAGGGGTCACATCATTATCATAGTGCACTAGTGTACAGCTGTCTGCATAGGGTGCAGCAGGCAACTTCGTCAGGCTCTTGGCAAGTCGTACAGCAACAACGTTTTCAATACGAAAGTAGTTGCGTATGAGGTACTGAAGAGCCAAGTGCACCTTAGGCGAAAGTCGGCTCGCAGCAGTCATCTGCAGCCGACCCTGTTTCGCTGGTAGATATCCGAAAGTCATGGCGGGTTTCCCCGCTGGCAGACCGGCAATAAAGGCCAATACTGTCCGAAGGGCCGTATTGTCCGATCCTATCTCGCGGACCATAAGTGCTTCGATGTACAGCGTGTGTCGTGTGTCAGGATACTGTACTCGCACCTCGCGACTACCGACCTTCACGATGACCTGGCCTCGGTCAGGTTCGTTGCGGATGACCGGGTATGGACCACTCCATCCACCCCAGTCGTCTTTCGTGGTGGTCGGGCGATGATAGTCCACGAGATCTCCCTCTTTGTAGTGAAATTCACCCGTAGCAGTAGTCTTCGTACGGAGAGCCCTGTTCGTCTTGGCAACCGCAGTGGCCTGCGTGATTGCCTCCAGACTAACCCTCCTGATTGTTTCCTCCCTTGAGTGATCTGATGATTCAGCGGACTGATCATGATCCAAGACAGGGAAATCGGGAAGCATAGCTGGTTGTCTGCCATACAGCGCATTGTACGGAGACACTTCATTGTAGAAGGTAAATGCGTTGCTGGCAAACAAGGCTTCATGTAAAAGACGAGTGAAATTCAGAGGAATATTTAATCTATTCAATTCTTCTCCCATCACGTGTATGAGGTGTCGCAGGATGCCGTTCCTAGCTTCGATAGTCGTGGCGTGTTGGCCACGCGCTCGGATACGAAGCTCTGTTCCCTTAGCCTTAAGGATGGCCTTTGCTGTATCGTTATTCAGTGCTCCTTCCCCATCGGAGTATAAGATTTTAGCAGGGCCGTGTTGCATCCAAGTTGTGTGATAGGCATCGAGAACAGTATGCATGGTCTTATCAGGAATCTCTGTGCCAGCTGCCCAGCGAATACAACGGTCGATGATGTGAAAAACAATATGTTCCTGTTTGTAAAAGAAAAGATCACATTCGACTTCCTCGTTGAAACGTCCTGGCAGTGACACAGAAGGCATCACCGTGTTGCCTGGTTTGTCCCAGGCTCGACATTCTCTACACGAGTCGCAAATGCCTTTGATCAGACTCAAACGGGTTTCACCCAGACCAACCTTAGTTAGAATCATCCGCATTTTTGGCTCCTTGGCATGAAACCATCTCAAGTGGAGTTTGCGGAGTTCTCGCTGCACTACAGCTGGGTCAAAGCTGCGCAGGTTTTGGAGGCTGAGCTGAACGTCGAAGCGAGTCCAATCAGGGAGCCTTGGCCTTGGCCTCGGCTCTGCTTGAGGCTGCGGCGGTGGTGGAGGATCTCCTCCCTCCATGCGTCCGCGCCTTGCTGCAACTTGTGGCAGTCTACGGTGATCGTCAGAGCTGCCAGCGCCAGTGTTGCCACCATTAGCCCCTTCGGCTCTGGTGATGTCATGGCTGCTGGCGCCTGCGGTTGGATCGCCCTCGCCAGGCCGTGGCGGCCTAGGGCGCGTATGCGCGCTCTCGCGGCCGGCGCCGCTTTTGCGGCTGGCGCCGCTTCTGCGGCTGGAGCCGCTTCCGCGGCTGGCGCCGCAGGAGCGGCTTGCCCCGCCGGGCGCGGCTGACCAAAGTTATCTGGCAGCTTCCATTTTTCGGCGAATCTGCATTGGCCAGATATCTTGGTGTGGTGAGGATTACTCTTCTGATATTCCTTCTTACAGCTTGGACAGTCCCAGTAGTATGGTTCAACATCATACCACCGACACATCTTCGGATCCCTGCTGTGCTTTGGTGATTGCTTGTAGTTGTTGTCCACACAGCCATGGCACCCAAGACCGCCAGGTGG